TCAAATGGCTATTGTTTAAGATATAATGGTTGGTTCAAACCCTTGTTCTAACAATTACACCATATTTTATATAATAAGTTATCCACATTTTAATTTAGTTTTACTATTTAATACCCATTATAACTGTTTATTTTATCCTGTTATAACAGAAAATTTATTCGCATTCAAATTCATACTTTTTCTGCAAATTTTCTAAAAAAAGTATACATACTAGAGGGATACACCTAATACAGCATACTTTTTTAAGAATACACGGTAGGAATCAAACTATGCTTATTTAAGCCCCACCTTCCTTATTAAGCTTCTTGTCATATGTTTCTTAATTTATTATGTAATGTATTAATACGATTATCGTGAATTGAAATATGTTGTTCTCATATGAAAAATTCATCAATAAAATTATCTATGTTAAGTGATGTTGCCCGCTTACTGTTAATGGAGAGTGAATGTCATGCTGTAGGGTGTCAACTCTTTAGTGATAAGTCTTCTCAATAAACTATTACTCAACTTTAATTTTGAGAATATCTTTATATTTCAAATATATTTATATTTGGAAATTAAAATTTTCTCTGATTATTTGGCCAAGTAGGAGCTTTAAAGTAAGAAATGATAGAACATTAACAATTTTTTTAATTGCTTTACTGGAAGTAATAATAAAATTTCTACGGTTATTTTTTTTTTACCAAAAAGATACCATTTGGTTTCTAAAAAATGTTGAATCGATCTCTCTGGGGTATCCATTAGTTAGACCTGTAAATATATAAAGCTCTTCTTTAATGCCAATAATTAACATTTTTAATATATAGTAAACCAATATTTGTGAAAATAACCCGGCGAATGGATGTGGCGACTCCATCGCCCAGTCTATAGACTGCTATCAGCCACTGGTCCACCAGGTTGATGGAACAACTATTCTGACGCCCACTGCAAACAGCACACTGCAAACATTTACGTTTAAAGCATTTACAGCCAAATAAAAGGATCAATACAGTCCCCCTCAAATACAGTCTCCAAAATACCAGAAACACAGTCTCCCTCAAAGTTGGTCCGTTTGATAACGACGACCGTGAAGAAGGTGGAGCGTGCTGTCCAATTAGGTGGAAGACTTTCTGAGGATTTTGAAACGTAGGACATCGTGACAGCCTTGCCTATTTATTGTTTAATATGTCACTGGATTGTGTGACTTAAATATGTGACTTGGAAGAAGCTAAAATAGGAAGAAGCTTGTCATCTATGATGGAGGCATTTCTCGCTATACAGGAAGCGGCACAAATTGTAGGTCTAACAATAAATGAGTGGTTGACTTTTATTTCATGGCGGAACCTCGACCCTCCCACTCTGGTTAGAATAGGTTTGGCTGTACCTCTAGAACGACCCCCCTGTATGCCAGAAATGGTGGGTAGGAGGTTATTCAATAAAAAATAAATACAAATAAAAAAGTGGCAATGAACCGAGAAGACTGGCGGTTGATGTTGCGGGAGGCCTTGAGTCATAGTGCCGGAAGAAGAAAAGGATATTTATGATAATAAAGACCATGAACTTCTTTTTTATAGGAATTCTGTTAATCAAATTGCAGACTACGATTTGTAGCCCCCGCCCTCACCCCGTCTGCCATGCCACGTCCACCAAGGTCAGTGTTGTATTATTAATCCTAGCTTTCATCGAAGGAACCCAACGGTATCTTAATTAATTTGTTAATAAATTAATTAGTTAATTTGTTTACTCAATTCCTTTCATTCTCTCTCTCTCTCTCTCTCTCTCTCTCTCTCTCTCTCTCTCTCTCTCTCTCTCTCTCTCTCTCTCTCTCTCTCTCTCTCTCTCTCTCTCTCTCTCTCTCTTTTTTCTTTTTTTTTGTTTTTCAACGTCCTACTACAATTGAACCATTGCCAATTAGTTTTTCGCTATATCTACACTGCTCGTCAAAAGTATTGTAACACCCATAATTCTCGAGATTATCTTGGTTTTGTCGTTAATCCATACTTTTTATATATTTATAGTAATATTATTTTTTAAATGAGAGACATTGGGGATTACACACATCATTTTTATTCACTGTTTACCAAAAAACGATATAATTTTGGTTTATTCATTTCAAGTTTCCTTTCAGTCCATGTTTATCGTCCGTTTGCCTTAAGTCTGTTCTCTCTTTTCTCTTTAGTCTAGTTATAACAATTAATTTTATTCACAATCCTTTAAGCCACAATGATACGGTCAGAATCACCGCTCCCTCTGAAGAAGGCAAATCATTGCGTTACATCGCTAATCGCCTTATGATTCACTATTCTTCCGTTTTTAAGTACCATAAAAAGGTACAGGGAGACTGGTAGTCAATCAAGGCAATCAACGTCAGGGCCTCCCAGAATTACGAATCGCATAGATGACCACTTCATTAAAATGCACGCACTTCGGAAGCGTAATTCTACAGCTTCTTCCATTAAAAATTTGATCACTGGTTTCGAGGAATATCAATCTTGGAGTCAACGGTCATTAGAAGAATGAGAGAGTCAAACCTCTCTCAAGAAGGCCATTGCAAGATCATCTTATCACCGCATACAGAGATTGAGATTTGCAAGGGAACGCCAATCTTGGACTTAGGAGGAATGGTAAAAGGTGTTATTTACTGATGGGATGAGAGTGGCAATTAACAGAACAGAAGACCATGAAAGAGTTTGGAGAAGGCTTGGAGAACAGTATAGTCAGTGCTGCACGTTAGAAACTGAGCCATTTGCGCGGGGGTGGGGGGGTTATCATGTTCTGGGATGGCATATCTTGGGATGCTTATACCGAGTTAGTGCCAATCCTAGAAGGGACCCTTGCTTTGAGGTATGACGAAATGATTCTTAAAGATCATGTAGGGCCTTTTATGCCGTTCATAGGCTGTGAATCGTTGCTCATGCATGATAATGCCCGTCCTCACAAGACAAAATGTGTTTCTGAATATTTACACACCACAAATATCCACACCATTGATTGGCCATCAAGAAGTCCTGACCTTAACCCAATCGCGCAAGTTTGGGATTAACTCATAAGAAAGGTTTGGCCACGATATTCAACTCCTACTACCATTGAAATGCTAAAGGCAGTTTTATTGGAGGAGTGGGACAATATACCAAAAGATTTTCTTCAAAACCTTTTAACAAGTATGCCAAGGCGAGTGGAAGCAGACATTGAAGCCAAAGGGGGCAATACGTCTTAATAAATGCCAATTAAAAATTAAAATGGCAATTTAAAAAGTTAAAATTGGAAATAAGGAAAATTTTAAAAAGTAAGTTTTCTAGCTTTTTGGTTTATAGGAAGACATATTGTAATTTATTTTAATGAAACTTGTTTATGTCCAGTTTACAAATGTTTATAATAAACAGTCTATAAAGTCAAGAATATAGAGACTTCAGAACCTTTCTTTAATATAAAAAAAAAACAAGGAGGACTAGTTTAAGAGGCGGTTGTTGCTTCAGTGATGTCTGTGGCTACTGCGGGAGGCGGCTAAAAGAAATTTGTTAAATGGTGCGACACAGAAGGTGTAATATTGTCTGTAGATGATGTTTTTCCTAGATTGTCAAAAGTGAGAAAAAAAGTTTTCTTTTGAGCACTTTAGAAGAAAAGGAGTGAGTCGCCGGATCCAAAAAATGTTATATAGGGTTTCCTCTACACTAAACTGATCAAAATTAGTAATAGTATTTAAGGAAATCTCTCCAAATCAAAGTGCTGCCTGGAGTACCCCAAGGGGGCGCCGTGTACTCTTCGTTCTTCAACCTAGCCATTGAACACCTGAATTTTCCAAAAAAATTAGATAAAGATAAAAGCGACCAACATTGTGTGATACAGGCTGTGCTCGTGATAAGGGGTTGCAGAAGCATAGTTCTTATTAAAGGAGAGCTGGAAAAAGCGAAGCCCTCCCTTGATAATGGAGAATACATCCAAATATTAAACGATTAAGTATTCCGGATGTATATAAAAGCATGTGTGTATTTAAGTAGTTATTTTGATTAGTTTCTTTTTTTTTAGTTTAGTTTATTTTAGGTTACATACATTTACTTTTATTATTATTGTTTTGCTGTTTATTTATTTTTATTTATTCTACATAGAGTGTAAATGAGCTACTCTTCCATCACTATTAGTATTGTCCTTAGATGTGACAGATTGTAATATTTCTCAATAAAGAATATTATTTATGTAATAAAAAAAATGACTCTGCCTTACTCAGAAAGTACGCAGTGTCTACCAAAATAGTAATTTTTAAGGTTAGCATATCACTGTCAATGAGGACAAATGTTGTTTTTCCTGATTACAGTGTTCAATAAAGTATTTATGACAGTATTTTATACAGTATTTTAAAAATATTAAACTTACAGTAAATTAAATAATTTTATATGGCTCTTTATTTAATTTAATGTCATAAAATGGAGTACATTTAGTCCTAGCAACAGGTTTATTAGTTAGAAATACCGTAAATTTTTATTATTTACTATAAGTGCAATAATCACAGTTCATTTATTTCTTATTTACTGAACAGAGATGACATTTACTGTGTTTTGACACAGAGAGTAATTCAAATCTGTTCACAATGTGCCAAAATAGAACTAAACTGAGCGTGAATTTGATCGTGACTGAGATCTTATAAAGTGAAACAGATGGCTTAGACTGATGGACTGATGTTTAGGCGAAACCAGTAACTAGTATACTGCGATTGTTTTTCAAATTTAAACAAAGAAAATTGTTAGAAAATTTAATAAGTAAAAATTCAGTAACTGGTATTTTATTTATTTATAAACTTATATAATTACACAATTTGTTAAAAGTAAAAACTCGGAATAATAATTATTATTTTATAAAAAAAACAAAAAACATTTTGATGAGGTCTCCAAACCATTCTTTGGACAGATACTGCGTTTATGTCAATGAGCGCTGCACTAATGTTGGTAATGCATAGCAGAGTAATGACAGTTTATTTATTGCTATTGACAGTGAAACTAATCTAAAGATATAATAAATCCACTTACCAATTGATGTATCATACGGCGCTAGATATTCTGAAGTCATGAACTGACTAATGAGTGATGTTTTCCCAACTGCAGAAGCTCCCAGCATAACAACCCTGTAGCTGTAATTGTGAGAGCCAGGGCAAGACACACAGGAAGATTGTCTTGACGGTGGCCCTAGCTGATCAGTACTGCTAACAGAACAGTATGTGTTATCCTTCATTCAGCAAACGTCCTATCAATATAATTTATTTATTGAAAATTTTTAAATTGATGTTCAAATAAAATAAAAAATAAAAAGATACAAGTTAATATGTAAAAGAACAAAACAATCTATTGGTTGTATTAAAAATCTCATAGAATTATGTCTAGCTTATTTAATGCTATTGGTCTGAGGTTATCGCCAATTGTAAATTGTAGAAAATATTTTCAACGAGTAAGTCAAATATGAAGTGGAGAAAGTATTACAAATTAGCAAGATTTTTTCGAAAATTTGTAATGGGGAGGTAGTGGATGATTTAAAATTTCATTCATGTTTTTTTTCTTTTTTTTTTTTTTTTCTCGAGATTATTTGAACGTTCCTACCTGGCTGAATTGCTTGATACGCTTCCTTGACTTTTCTCTAATTTGGACTTGAGATAGTCTCCCCTGTTGATGACCCCTTTTCCGGTAATGGAGAAGTGCCTTAGGCGATAGTAATGTTCTTCAGCTCCTGTATTAGGCATAGACGCAACCCTGGTTCTGGCCGGAGGCAATGTAAGTGAGTTAGGCCTAGAACGTGGCTTGACGCTCTGGGACCTGCTATGATGAGGTGATCCATACCTGAAACCATTCCCGACTTAACTAAAACTCGCTTAGTAAAGACATTAAAAAAAAAAAATTGAAATAATGCGACCCTTATTTTAAAAGTTTATCTCCATTCTATTCCATTTATCTCTCCCTCTCTATCATCTATAAGTCAATATATAAACGATATGTAAACATTTTTAGCACAATGGGACACCTGCGAGGCGACTCTGACGTTTTGGAATTTCACCCTAAGAAGTAATTTTTCAGATAAATAATATTTGTATAGATATTTATTTTCTCTGCAAATTTACAATGTTGGCGACATTCATCCCTTTTCCAAATGGGGTGATAAGAATTTCTGAATGCTTCATCGCCGGAAAGGACGATTGGGGTAGATGGTCAGGGTAAATCAAAAACTAAAACCCGTAGAAGAAACGACATTAAAACGCACTGCAACAATCGATAGACTGGCAACAAATGTTAATTTTCAAGCTAAGAAGCAATTATAGGAAGTGACTGAAATCCTAACATCTTCAGACGACCAAAAAGCATGACTGTTTACCAAGCAGTGGAGAAGTGGGCTATATATTTTTTACATTTACATAAATTTTTTGATTAAATGACTGGCGCAAATTCTCATTCGAACATGGCTCTCTAAAAAAGATTTAGAGAAAACCTGGATGGTTAGTTCCAACTTTAAACGCTTTGAAATAGGCCTTTAAGTTGTCCAATGCGAGTGAAATATACGTTTTTATTTTTTAATATCTTTATTATTTTTTTGTTACTAGAACAAGATTAGCTTGTATCAAGACTAGCTCAGAACAAAAATAATATTTTTTTCTTTATTAGGATAAGCTATTGGAAATTAATGTTTAGCTATGAAGAACGCTAAATGGCACTGACGATCTTCCGAATGGAACGATAGTGGGTAGCGACTGGAGTCATCGTGAACATGATCCTTCAATCCATTTGGAGCGAATTTTGCTGGGCGGCTACAAAGTTGCTCTTATTTATTATGATTTTTCATTTGAAAGAAGGGGCTTAATAAGTGGTTAACCTGTATTTATGAACACAAGAACAAAAAATCTCGTTTTTGTTATCCATTAGAATCATAAATGTTTATTGAAAAATAAATATGAAGTTTTGTTTAAAATTCGCATTAATTTAACTTTTCAGTTTACGCAATAACTGAGCCAATTTATATCATAAAATTATAAGATAAATCTAAGATTAAGTAAAAAATAATAGACATAAGCTATAACAGAAAGAATTATTTTACCTTTTTTTTTTTTTTTTTCATTTTGTGGACGAACGTCATTAGCCACCCTGGTATATGATTATTAGTCACTTTATTGATGCTATATGAATATAGGGAAAGGTTATGCTTATTTTTACAAAGAAATTAAAACTGATTTAGTCAGGTTGACATGGAGAACAAATCGCACTAATTTGGACTTCAGTAGGATTCCACTGACATAGAAACTATATAAGATTGAGATTGTACTTTTCAGGTACCTAATAAAAGAAAGATTCATACTTCGATAAATATTTGAAATAAGCATGTGTATATTTAATTAGTTATTTTGATTTGTTTTGTTTAGTTTCTTTTAGTTTATATAAATTTACTTTTAGTACTATTATTTTGCTGTTTATTTATTGTACATAGTGTGAATGAGCTACTCTAATATCACTATTACTATTATCCTTAGATGTGACAGATTGTAATATATCTCAATGAAGAATGATCGCTAAAATATATATATATATATTGAAAATAATAGAGCTGTGGTGGAGAGTGGAGGTACGGTCTGAGTCGACCGTAGAGTGACGTGTACGGCTTCCAAACACTACTGTCAAACCGCTGTTGTTTTTCAAGTAGTATTTATAAGAGCTAAGAAAATGTATTTCAAAATAAATATTTGTATTCAGAGACGACTGGGTTAGAGAAAAAGAGGGAAAATATTTCTTGTAATCAAGTTTTGAAGCTGGAAACACTAAGGTAAAATGTTTAACTTTCTCAACATTATGAACCAGGCACCGACAATCCATGCCGTAGCTTTGTCCCCACATTTTTTCTTTAACAATAATTATCTTTGCAAATATGCATAATAAAAATTCGGAACTTTTTACGTTGTTATTGTTTTAATCTAACAATTTTTAGTCTCTTATCTTCTTCACTGATAAATAGAAATTAAAAATTCGTGAAAGTAACCATTACTGATGACATAATTTACAGTGAGAAACAGAAAGGCATAAGTCTTTTTTATAGTTGTTGCATTATTACGTTTCATCTGTTTCCTAAATTTAAACGCTACTACTTTAATTGAATTTCAAGTTTCATAATTAATGTTATTTGGATAAATTGTGCTCAGTAATCCCAAAAAAACAACAACAGGAAGTCGTCGGTCGAAAAGAAAAACGTTGTGTTTATTTTGAGATTCGGTTCAATCTCTTATTGGTCCAAGAGCCGGGTCGAAATTTTTTGACTTGCTTGAAGAAAATTTTAAGTTATACATCCTTCTTGGCATGTCAAACCTTAGCATTCATTTAATTGGATATGTAACCCCACCTAATGATTAAAAAGACCGCCGCATGCCATTCTAGCTTCGCTTCTTCGTGTGCACTGATATTGGCTCACCTGTCTTCCATACATGACAACATTATTATTTTCAGATATGCATAGATAAATGTAAGTACGAATTCATTGAGGGAAGAGTTTACTTTTACTGAACACTTACTGAGAACACTTTTTGATTTGCCAGAATCAAATAATATCACATAGGTCATAGTATCGTGTTCATAGATTAACCCTGAGTTTTTGTTTAAAGAAAAGAAATATATATATATTTTTGAAAATTTTATATGTATATATATATATATATATATATATATATATATATATATATATATATATATACATATAAAACTCAGGGTTTTCAAAAATGTTATAAAATATATTTTTTAAAATGTATATCTATATTTATTAAATTAATTAAAGGATTTACGGAATTTTAGAATTTTGTATTCTTAAAGTCATTGTTATTTTATCTTTAAGACATATCATTTTTCATCGTCTTTATATTAAAAATGCTTCCGAATTAAAAGTTCAGCATTGTTTCTAGAAAGTTCAAAATATTAGTTGCTAATAAGACCTATCCATAATTATGGAAAGCAAATTTATCGTATGCCTAAAAAATGAGAGAAATACTTTATTAAAAGTAATGCTGTCCTACTACATAGGGTTGCTTCGTACACAGCATACCTATCAATCCACAAGGACATTAATTTTATATTTCATTTTTCTATTTTTTATACATATATATGTCATATCTTTCCTTTCTTTCTGTCTTTTTCCTCTTCCCCCTCAATTACCTAGAAGAATTTAAAAATAGAAATGTTTTCTCACATTCTAGTCATTATGTCTTCCAAAGTTTCATATTTTTTTCTAGTGGGCAGGCTTTTTTATCAATACCTACTCATTTCTGGAGTTAAAAAAATAATCTCTCTCTCTCTCTCTCTCTCTCTCTCTCTCACACACACACACACACACACTCTCTCTCTCTCTCTCTCTGTGTATATATATATATATAAATTGATAAATGTTATACTAATCTAGTAGAGAAGTAAAAAAGAAAGTAATACCTACTTCATTTCAAATTCTCTCAGTTGATCAGGAGTGAGTGTTGTAGCTACTTCTAGAAGTCGCATATTTTCGACCCGCCGTTGTTCTAATGAATATTCCACATCTGGAGATGTAGTCTGTACACTGGCTTGCTGAACCACAATTGAGGTCTTGCTTTCTTGAGGCAGTGAGACGGATTTTCTTGGCTTTCTTTCCTAGAAAATGAGGAAATATGTTTTCCTCACAATTTTAAGTGACTTGAACTATTAGCATATTTTTATTTATAATTAATTTTAAAAAATACACCAACTGCGTAAAAGTTAAAGACAACTCAAAAAAACGTTTGCTCTTTTTTTTAAAATCAAACACTGGACACAGGTTCTAACTTCTATATAGAGGCCACCTAGGTATTTCCTCTAACATTTATTAACGGTAGACCACCTATTGTTTTTATTAATTAGGACTAATATTTGAGGGCTGAGTGGTCCAACTATTTCAATTTTCCATTTCTCCCGATCTGGACCTTTCACTACTATAATAAGGAAACGAGGTCGAAGAAAGGATAAAAAAATCCTTGAACCTGACTGTGACAAGTCATGCTCGTCGTATTACTCCCACGCTCAGTCTGTGACAGCTTTGCTAGATCTCTTGGGATTGCAGACATTTTGGACCCCTTGCTCTTCTTTTCAAGGTTTTCTTCAAATCCGAATTTGCTTGCAACCTTGAGACCTTTCTTTGGTTCAGACACATCTTTCATCCAGTTATAACGGATATTTAATTAAATGAATGATGATAGGATAAAATTCTACGGTTGTTAGTGTTTAATATTCGGAAAGGTCTTTGAAGCCAATAAATTAATATATATCATTATGATATATATAAAACATAACGGTACACGAAATAATGATCCTAGTAATTCCTCTAAAAATTATCAAGAATAAAAATATAGGTATTCATAAAAAAAAAAAAATAATAAATGAAAACAATAATTGAGATCGGTTTTATTTTAAAATAAAAAATATTATTATTAATAATAATAATAAATCCTTTTATTATGTTCATAGCTCAACAACAGAAAACAAATCAAATTATTTTAAATATTTTTTATTTAATAATATAGTTGAAAGATTTAAGAAAATAATGTTTTTATTAAGAATATTCTACAATTCATCACCATCAGTATAGAAAAATAAGACTTGCAGAATTAAGACATTACCTAGAATATGACCCTATTCAGTTATCTTGTTAATAAGCTTTATCTTTAGTTACTGTTGATGTGAGATACGCTTTATTTGATTTGTATGCCTGAAATATATCTTGGTTACTTATGTTTGAATATTCGTGAGTTGGTGAAGCCCAGACTGGGTGCTATTTACAAGCACTATTAAACTTTAGCACTCTTGCTCAATCTCCACTGGGTTTAGCCCCAGCGATGCGGTTGAGAGAGAAGTGCAGGGATCTCCTGGAGTCATGCTTTTCCCTCCACAGTTGGAGGGGCAAGTCTGGTTTGGAGCTCTCTCGCCAGATTGTAAATATTCTATATAGGTATGTATGTGTTCTTTTAATTCATTTATTTTTAGGTTATTTTATTCTTATTTATTGTATGTATATTATTTTTCTATATAATTTATTTTATTTATTAGACATAGAGTGTGAATGTGATCTGTGAACACTATTATAAATGTCTTTGAGACAAATTGTAATATTTTTCAACAAAAAAAAAAAAAAGTTTTAAGCTTTGAGTTCGAAATCTTTAAATTGAAGCCTAAGTATATATTTATGCTTCTAGTTTGATTGTTTTGTATACATAACCTTGCCTAAACTAGTGAAAAGATTTTCTACCGTACCACACTTGTAAATAGGAGTTTAAGACACAAAAAAATTCAAATACCTATTGAGATGTCCACGATTATTTATATCTAGAGACACAGCCTTAAATATGCATCACGTATAATGACTTACTGCAACGGATACAAGCTCCTGTTTGCTTCTTGAAGTGGGTGAATCTGGTAATGGTGGTGATGAAGGTGGGTCCACACTTCCATACTCTGAATCAATGGTCATCTGCTCAGCGGCGAACCCCGATGATCCACGCCCATGTCGTACCTGTCACATACATTTTCATCCATTAAAAAAAACAAAACAAACATCTTCGGCCTCTTGAAAAGGCGCAGCGAGGAAATGTTAGGCAGCCTTAGTTTCTGACAAGTAATATTTCTATCGACGGTTAACCACTGTAGTTTAAGCCACTGCAGTGTTTCTCAGCCAATGACTTACAAAGACTGAAATTGAAGTACAATGGGCCCGTATTATTTTTTTAATTTTTAAGGTATCAGATACCTACAGAACGCCAGTGCCACCACATTAATTAATTGTTTGATCGTGTGATCTAATACTAGATCGCGTTTCCAAGTACTAGAATAAAAGAGTTTTCTCTTATTTAAGTGAGACATAAAAGCTATTGAACAGCCAATGTTGAAGGAACACATGTAGTCATCAGATCAGTCCAGTTCGGATCAAGGTATTAATCGGGCCTGATATTCTGATATACTGACAGCATTGACAAGTAATGATGTCTTTGCAGTCGTAACGAGTTCTGCACGAAATTTTAGTGAATCGTAAGAATCTTCTAATGATTCAGATTGAATTGGATTACCTTCATCTTCAAGAGACAAAATGGAATTTGAACCCTCTTTAAGCAACAGAAATGGCCAATTTGCATTTAAAACTACATTTTTTAAAGCAGAAATTTTTGAGAAAAAAAAAATAATACTCTTTGATAAGGCTTCTAGAAATTCTGAATTCTAGACCTCACATTTAAATTATCTATACCACTTTACAACTTGAAAACATATTTGTATATGGGAATTTCAACAGGTATCTGACTTATTAATTTGAATACAAATACTATTAATCACTTGCCAAATGTACGAGAAATTTCTCAGCAACCCTATCATAGTAAACTAAACACCCTACAAGTGTATACGAAGTGGCATTGTGTTCATATAATAGATGATAAACAAAACAATATACTATGGTCACCCACTTATCTACAACTGTACAAAATAGAAATGTATTGTGGAATATGGCTGGGGGTATCATCGGAAAAGATAATTTAACCTGGACAGTGAACATATCTCCATGTCTAGCTCCCTCCCTCAGTAGTGTTTATTTTGCTTGATAGTCCTCCAGTGGATCCTTTTCAAGGGGGTAAAGTATATTAGAACCCTCACACATTTACTGCTTGGTCCCATCGAAATTAGTTCAACTCATAGTAAGGTTTTATTTGTCAGGACAATATCTTAATATATAAAAACTACAAAAAGGTTAATTCTTTTTCTTTTGTAATGATTCAACATAATTACACCAGGTTGAAATATTGTGTATGTTTCTTTTTGTTAGTAAAGCCTCCATGAACACCGCACAAACAATATATACTGTAATTATTGTACATCATAATAAATGTTATATTGATTCAACTATACCTCATCTTCAAAGTTAGTCTTTGCATATCGCTTTGACAACAATTTGAGCCTCTTGGCTGGTACCCTGGGAATTTGTCTGGTCTCCAACTGTTCTTCTGGCTCTTCTACTGCCACCAGCTCGTCCAGGAGTGCTGCTGCAGAGGGCGTCGGTGGCAAACCGTCCTCTGTATCTACGGTTACCTGAAACCATAAAATGCACCTAAAACAGTCGAGTACACATCGCATAATCCTCTACAGCTCACGGGAATCACCAGGCCAATTTTTTCCAATATATTTTTATTACTAACTATTTATATTACTATAGCTAATTTTATAGATACTCTTTATTAATTTACATATAAATTTTGTGGTTCTTCAGCTCTAAAACATGGTTCCGGATGACCCTGCAGACAACCCTCCCCGTCTCCCCTCCCCTTAATTCACATCAAATTTAAGTAAAATGAACTATTATTGGATAGTATCATTAAATATCAACCAAATAGTTCAAAACAATTTTAAAATTCTCTTAAATTCTTGTCATTGCTGTCTGCAGCCAATCACCAACGTTTTTCCTTCCAATTCACCTACCTACTGGCCCACTGATCTTAACCAGAATTATGATATGCTTGATTTTTGTATCCATATTGGTTTATGTCATCTCAATCATTTTCTTACCCGTCTTGCTGAACTTTCCTCAAATCTTTGTCCATACTCCAATTACACCAATTATTTCTAGCTCCTATTGCTAAGTCCTGACGTCCTTCATCAGAGGCCCAGTTAATTTGAAACCTTTTCATCGAATCCGTTCTGATAAAATTGACCTCTTAATAACCTTAAAACCACAGAAGACCTTGACAATGCCGTACATTTCTTTACCACAACTACTCAACAAGCAATCTGGACTGCTTCCTTCCCTGATCACTCCTTGACAATCCCTAAGAATAATAATTTACCTCATCACCTCCTTGACTTAATAACAGTTAAACGCCATTCCAGATTATTATGGCAACGCACTAGACATCCCACCGATCGCAGCACCTATAATTATTACTGTAAAAAAATAAAAACAGGAATTAGCCACCTTCAGATCACAATCCTTCAACTCGTACCGCACATCTCTCACAGTTCATGACAATTGGAATATCACTAAAAAAAAGCCTTAAATACCATCACATTACTTATCGCTTACGTGGATATGATGGCTTCTGGGCATCGTCTGATGAAGATAAAGCCAAAAATTTCGTCCACCACCTTTTCTATATTTTCATTCCTCATCCGAAATCCCATCTTACCGATATTGTAAATGTAGAATTCTTCTCTTTGCCCATCCCACTCTTGGCTTTCTCTTAGACCGAAAACTAACACGGAACCCAAATACTAGACTCAAAAGACAAGAACTTAACCAACGATACCGCCAACTATACAGATTACTGACTAGAAAATCTCAAGTTTCCATTGAAAATAAATTACTGATCTACAAAGTATCCTAAAATCTATTTGGACCTACGGACTAAAACTGTGGAGGACAGCAAAATTTTGTAACATCAAACGCATCTAATCCTATCAGTCCAAAGTCCTTCGAACAATAGCCGATTCTCCGGTCTATGTAACCAACAAAACTCTACACCATGACCTCAACATTACATTTGTTGAGATCATGGTGTAGATCTTATAAATATATAATATTTATATCTTATATAAATATTATATAAACCTAGATCTTATCCCAGAAAAACTCATATAATTTCACTAGAACCTTACGTATCATCTAAATCCTTTTGAATAATTCCTATCTAGCACCACCCACTC